TACACTGTTGAGAAGACGCTGTCAGTCATGGTAGCCTAAATGTTGCTAAACTGTTGACAAAACGCTGTCAGTCATGGTAGCCTGAATGTTGCTACACTGTTGACAAGACGCTGTCAGTCATGGTAGCCTGGATCCTGCTACACTGTTGACAAGACTTTGTCAGTCATTTTAGCCAGGAATGTTGCTACACTGTTGACAAGACGTTGTCAGTAATTGTAGCCAGGGATGTTGCTACACTGTTTACAAGACGTTGTCAGTCATGGTAGCCTGGATGTTGCTACACTTTTGACAAGACGCTGTCAGTCATGGTAGCCTGGGTGTTGCTACACTGTTGACAAGTCGCTGTCAGTCATGGTAGCCTGGGTGTTGCTACACTGTTGACAAGACGCTGTTAGTCATGGTAGCCTGGATGTTGCTACACTGTTGAGAAGACGCTGTCAGTCATGGTATCCTTTATGTTGCTACACTGTTGACAAGACGCTGTCAGTCATGGTAGCCTGTATATTGCTACACTGTTGAGAAGACGCTGTCAGTCATTGTAGCCTGGATGTTGCTACACTGTTGACAAGAAGTTGTCAGTCATTGTAGCCTGGACGTTGCTACACTGTTGACAAGACGTTGTCAGTCATGGTAGCCTGGATGTTGCTACACTGTTGACAAGACGCTGTCAGCCTTGGTAGCCTGTATATTGCTACACTGTTGAGAAGACGCTGTCAGTCATTGTAGCCTGGATGTTGCTACACTGTTGACAAGACGTTGTCAGTCATGGTAGCCTGGATGTTGCTACACTGTTGACAAGACGCTGTCAGTCATGGTAGTCTGTATATTGCTACACTGTTGAGAAGACGCTGTCAGTCATGGTAGCCTGGATGTTGCTACACTGTTGACAAGACGTTGTCAGTAATTGTAGACAGGGATGTTGCTACACTGTTTACAAGACGTTGTCAGTCATGGTAGCCAGGAATGTTGCTACACTGTTGACAAGACGCAGTCAGCCACTGTAGCCTGGATGTGGTTACACTGTTGACATAACGTTGTCAGTCATGGTAGGCTTGATGTAGTTACACTGTTGACAAGAAGCTGTCAGTCATGGTAGCCTGGATGTTGCTACACTTTTGACAAGACGCTGTCAGTCATGGTAGCCTGGGTGTTGCTTCACTGTTGACAAGACGCTGTCAGTCATGGTAGCCTGGGTGTTGCTACACTGTTGAGAAGACGCTGTTAGTCATGGTAGCCTGTATGTTGCTACACTGTTGAGAAGACGCTGTCAGTCTTGGTAGCCTGGGTGTTGCTACACTGTTGACAAGACGCTGTCAGTCATGGTATCCTTTATGTTGCTACACTGTTGACAAGACGCTGTCAGTCATGGTAGCCTGTATATTGCTACACTGTTGAGAAGACGCTGTCAGTCATTGTAGCCTGGATGTTGCTACACTGTTGACAAGACGCTGTCAGTCATGGTAGCCAGGAATGTTGCTACACTGTTGACAAGACGCAGTCAGCCACTGTAGCCTGGATGTGGTTACACTGTTGACATAACGTTGTCAGTCATGGTAGGCTTGATGTAGTTACACTGTTGACAAAAAGCTGTCAGTCATGGTAGCCTGGATGTTGCTACACTTTTGACAAGACGCTGTCAGTCATGGTAGCCTGGGTGTTGCTTCACTGTTGACAAGACGCTGTCAGTCATGGTAGCCTGGGTGTTGCTACACTGTTGACAAGAAGTTGTCAGTCATTGTAGCCTGGACGTTGCTACACTGTTGACAAGACGTTGTCAGTCATGGTAGCCTGGATGTTGCTACACTGTTGACAAGACGCTGTCAGCCTTGGTAGCCTGTATATTGCTACACTGTTGAGAAGACGCTGTCAGTCATTGTAGCCAGGGATGTTGCTACAATGTTAACAAGACGTTGTCAATCGTGGTAGTCAGGGATGTTGCACTGCTTACAAAACGTTGACACTCGTGGTGGCTTAGATATTGCTGCAGTGAATATGTGCTTTTACTGTCACGATAATCTGCAGATTCATACTTTAGCTGCAAGACTTTTGGCAGTCACACCTGCTGGCTGATGTGTTTACAGGATACATGGTTGATCAGCTACCGCTGCCTCAGACTTATCACACACTAGTTACACGAGAATTAGAAACTAGTTACCAGGTCATCAGGCGGCTAACCTAACAATTAACAGGATAGAAACATTGATGAACGACACATGCACACGAAATCTTATATAAATCTGCAACGGAAAACTGTAGATATTTTGGTCAAACAAGATCACTCACACACGAAGAACTGAGGGTGAACACAACAATGTACATCACAGGCAAATGGTAGCAAGGGAAGCAGCTGGAGGTTGCTTGCAGATGGTGAAAGAAGACAGACAACCTCAGGAATTCTGCAGATGGTTAAAGAAGACAGACAACCTAAGGAAATCTGCAGATGGTGAAAGAAGACAGACAACCTCAGGAATTCTGCAGATGGTTAAAGAAGACAGACAAC